CCCCGCGGCGCTGACTCGGCCACCCCCCCGACCGCCCCTCTCCCCGCGCTCGGGTCCCGGGAGCCTCGGCCCAGGGCGGCCTCTGCTGGACAGTCAGGGCGCGAGACTCGAGTTTTGACGGGGTTCAGCAAAGGTCCGGGGCGTCTAGCACCGTGCTGGGAACTGAGGGGATGCAAAGAAGTGTGAGCGGATCTCTGCCCCCGGGAATTTATCTCAACTTTCCTTATGCGAGTTTACAACAGGTGAGCATATGCCATGTTAGGCGTCACTTCGAAGAGCCAAGACCCCACTATTGCAAAAGAGAATACACATTCCTTGCCAAGTTTGAGAACCTTTTCCTTCATTTCTTCAAATGTTCCTGCGTGTACTTTAAACCCTCCCACACATTCAACCCCGCTGCACTTCCTGGTGCCTGAGCCAGGATGTCTTTTATCTTTTTCAGCTTCTACCAGAAGAAATACTACTAATGTCTGGTGTATGGTGATTAACGTAACATAATAATAAAAAAAAAGGAAGTAATACTAATGTCTGGTAATAGTGATCATGGGATAACTGAGCCAGGCAACCTCCTAGGTGTGGTATCATGACTCCTAACAATCTTGTGACATAGGAATTATTATTATTCCATTTTACAGACGAGAAGACCGAGGCATAGAGAAGACAAGTAATGCGCTCAAGGTCACATAGCTGGTAAGGACTGGACCCCATAATTGAACAGTTTGTGCACCAGGGCCTTAAAAACAAAGGCTAACATGTCCTGAGTGGTTGTTGTGTGCTGGGCAACGGTGCTGTACAGGATATTAACCAAGTGAAGTTCTCACAGCAATCCTTTGAGGGGGGCACTATTATACCTTCATTTTCAGGGGAGGAAATGGAAACACAGGGAGGTTTAAGTACTTGTCCAAGGCCACACAACTAGCGAATGGTACAGAGAGCATGCCTGCCCAGGCACCCTGGGTCACCCCCTGTCCCGTACTCCCTTTCCAAAGCCCAGAGTTTCTGTATGTTCGCACAGATCAAAGCTGACCTTGCACTTAGTCCTCCCTACCACCTTAGACTTGCTTATTTCTCACACCTCTATCAGATCAGATGCCAGATCACCTCCAATATCTCCGTTAGTAGGAGCCTGCTGGTCCCCTAGTCGCCAGAGCTGGAAAGTGACTGGAATTAATGAGCCTTCCTAAAGAATTAATTAGCTCAGGACCATCTGTAGACCTGGGGAACAGCTTTCTTTTTCCTGTGGCTTCTTTCTCCTGTACCAGAGCCTCAGGTTTCATTTTGTCACTTGTTTGGGTCTTATCACTGTACCTGTGACCACGTCCATTCCACTGCGTGACCCCATCCTTACCACTTGTGCAGCTTGTCTTGCTTCCGCAACCAGATTAAACTGGACTAACAGTTTTGATGGTTTGTTTTGTTGTTGTTGTTGTTGTTGTTTGTTTTTGGGGGGTTTGTGTGTTTGTTCTTGGTTTTGGTTCATTTGTTGATCATTGTTGGAATTTGGAATGAGAAGTAAAAGATATCACAACCAAGTGCCTATCCCCCTTCCCTCCTCTCTGGCCAGAGAAACTGCAAATTCAATTTGTTAAACATGTTTTCTGAGTGCTATTGACCTTGAGGTTTTTCCAACTTCTGGTGTAATCTATATGATTATGAAGAATTTCTGTATCTGAGTTGTGGTTGTCATGGGGGCAAGGGCCACACACAGATGAATTTTATATATAAACTAAAATTTGTATATTTATATGTAAAAGTTGTATAAGGCAATGGTGCCTTTAAATAAGGGCCATTTAAGTAACTAACTCTATGACAGAAATAAGGGTTTTTCAAAACCCCTGCAAAGAAAAAAATATTCAATTGAAATTCAGCAAAACTTTAATGGAACCCCTCTGGAGTGCAAAGCATGTGTGACTCTGATTTTGATACCTAAGATGATGGTTTGGTACACAAAGGATGGTGATCCCCACTTCTGAATCATTTAAAATTTCCAAAGGTTTTCACTGTACACAGAATAGAGTTGAAAATGATTGATTTCTTTAACTGAAATCATTCATTTTTATTAATGATTAAAACTTCCAATTTATTAATTTAGTGAAAACATATTTGATCAGTTACTAGGTGCCAGGCCTTATGCTCGGCTGTGGGAATGTCGCAGGTTGTAAGAGTCAGGGTAGGCTAGGTTATGCTACTGTCATAAACCACCCCAAAGTCTCAGAGACTTAAGCAATAATGATTTCTTCTTTGCTCATCAACATCTGCTATGGATCCAGGTCATTTCCCAGAGTAGCTATCCTCTATGTCAAGGGCCTCAGTGTTGCACCTCCATATCAAAACCTGCTTTCACACTCACTGAGATAGGGAAAGAGAAGTGGAGAGTTCCGTGCAGCCTTTAGGTCTCTTACCCAGAAGTGGCACTTCGCTCACATTTCATTGGTTAAAACAAGTCAGTGGCCATGTGCAACTCCAAGAAAGCAAGGAAGCACAATCTTCTCCTTTGCCCAGATGAAGAGGAGAGCTAGAGAGCAGGGAACAGTTGTGATGTATGCCACAGTGGTTCATTGTCTCTGCCATCAGGAAGCTTATATTCTAGTAGTGGAAAGTCAAACGTTGAATGAACAATCAGAAAAATATATGCAATAATTTATGATGTTAAAAATGGGAAGATGGGAGAAATGGGTGAACTGTATTTGCATTTCAAATAAATTGAATTTGTAAAGAGTTTTAAAATATATGCAATAAGTTATTACATTAAATACTATAAATAATAATACCCACTAAGGGTGCCTGGGTGGCTCAGTTGGTTAAGCGACTGCCTTCGGCTCAGGTCATGATCCTGGAGTCCCTGGATCGAGTCCCGCATCGGGCTCCCTGCTCGGCGGGGAGTCTGCTTCTCCCTCTGACCCTCCCCCCTCTCATGTGCTCTCTCTCATTCTCTGTCTCTCAAATAAATAAATAAAATCTTTTAAAAATAATAATAATAATAATACCCACTAACATTTATTGAGCTTCTGCTATGTATTAGGAATCGTTCCAAGCATTTTATGTAATCTGTTTAAACTTTATACCCCATAAGGTTATATTAATTTTACAAATAAAGAGCTGAGAGATATTTAAAGAGACTGTAAGTGTGAAGAAAACCAAAAGTATGAGATATTACATTAGGGGGACTCACACTCCTCAGTGGGGCCAGGGATGGAATTTGCATGCAACTCTTTAGTCACGCCTTATAGCAAAAACCAGTTTCTTCATAGAATTCTCTTAGTTCCTTTATAATACTCCACTGGGATAAAATCTGAGATAAATCTGCCTTTTATTGACTTCCACTCTTTTTTGATCACTGTTAAAATGAATTTCTAAGGTTGTAGACTTTCAACATCTTATAAAAAGTTGCCCTTGGTTGACTTAGTTTTCGACATCCTGAATTTATTGTAATTTACAGATAATGTCAAATAATATATGTTAAAGAATATAGAAGTGTTAGCTTTGGGCTCTTGGATTCTTCCTAACCTAGGAGAGACGGAATAACTTAGTTGAGAGAGCTGGGTGAAGCAGTATTGTGAAGTGGTTAGAGGCTGGGTTCTCATGTCTCACCCATGGCCCCTGAAGGCTGGATTCGAATCTAGTTTCTACCATCTACTCACTGAGTGACTCTAATTACTCGGCACCGCTATGTCTCCGTTTCTTCCTGGCATTACTGGGAGGATTAAATGGATTATATATGTAAAAAAAGTTGGCATTTTCTCAGTGCCAATCAATGTTATCTGTTATTAGAGGGCAAACTTTGGGGGTACATTAAAAAATTTTTTTTGGATCTAAAGTACAGGAGCAAAACATTCCTGCCTGCTGCAGCTGTTTCTTCACACATTTAGTTATGTGACTTGGGCTGTGCCTTCAGTAATTCTGACCCTGCTACAGTTGAGGTGCCGGGGAAAGCTCTAAACCCACTCTGACAGCTCCTTCCCCAACCCCCTCTCCTCTCCAAAGGCAGGAATGCAGCAGCCTGAAGACAC